ATGATGATGATGATGATGATGATGATGATGTGATGATGATGATGATGATGATGATGATGAGATGGATTGACGATGATGATGATGATGATGATGATGATGATGATGATGATGATGATGAGGATGAGGATGAGGAGAGGATGAGGAGGAGGAGGAGGAGGAGGAGGAGGAGGAGGAGGAGGAGGAGGAGGAGGAGGAGGAGGAGGAGGAGGAGGAGGAGGAGGATGAGGAGGAGGAGGAGTGGAGAGGAGGAGGAGGCTGAGGAGGAGGGGAGGAGGAGGAGGAGGAGGAGGAGGAGGAGGAGGAGGAGGAGGAGTAGGAGGAGGAGGAGGAGGAGGAGGAGGAGGAGGGGAGTAGGAGGAGGAGAGGAGGAGGAGGAGGACGGAGGATGAAGGAGGAGGGAGGAAGGAGAGAGGCGGAGGAGGAGGAGGAGGAGGAGGATGAGGAGGAGGAGGAGGAGGGGAGGAGGCGGAGGAGGGGGAGGAGGAGGCGTATGGAGGAGGAGGAGGAGGAGGGAGGATGAGGAGGAGGAGGGAGGAGGAGGAGAGGGAGGAGGAGGGAGGAGGAGGGAGGAGGAGGGAGCAGGTAGGGGGGAGGAGGAGGAGGAGGAGGAGGAGAGGAGCGAGAGGAGGATGAGGAGGAGGAGGAGGAGGAGGAGGAGGAGGAGGAGGAGGAGGAGGAGGATGAGGTAGGAGGAGGAGGAGGGGAGGAGGAGGAGGAGGAGAGAGAGGAGGAGGAGGAGGAGGAGGAGAGGAGGAGGAGGGAGGAGAGGGAGGCAGGAGGTAGGAGGAGGAGGGAGGAGGAGGAGAGGGAGCAGGAGGGAGGAGGAGGGAGAAGGAGGGGGAGGGGGAGGAGGAGGAGGAGGAGGAGGAGGAGGAGGAGGAGGAGGAGGAGGAGGAGGAGGAGGAGGAGGCTTCTTTCTTAAAAATACATTAAGGTCTACCCCACCGGGGTCTTCGCAGCTCCCCGTGTGATAGTACGCTTCAGATTTCATTGTGTCCCATCGTTCGGCACACGTATGAAATCATGCGATCCCAGCCAGGCAGGTATCGACCCCCCCATCTCAAGCAGTGGCGAAGCGTCCAGGCTCGCCTATAGGCCCCAAAGAGAATGTTCGAGGAACTTGTTGTGGTCTGCGCGGGATGTTCTTGGCACAGTTCTGGCTCATCCTGTCTTGTTTCAACACATCGGGTTTGTGTTCTAAGAACATGGTTTTTGTTATTGAAATATATTTGGGGGTTCCAGAAGCATGTCGTGGTGGGCCTATAGGAATGCCGGGACGGTCAGTCCCTGCTCAGAAGAAGGCATGTCGATCTACCCCCCCCAGTCTTCGGAGCTTCCCGAGGGACAGTACGCTTTACATTTAATGTGGTCCCATCGTTCGTTGCAATTATGAAATCATGCCATCCCAGCCAGGCAGGTAGCGCCCCCCCCCCCCTCATCCCCGTCGATAATATTGTGCGCGTGCTCGTGTAGCACAGATCATCAGTTTTCAACACCATCCCTTGCAACAGAAGGGACAAGGTACACGCGCGCGCGTTGTCGCGCGCGCATGCCGAGAGCGTCGATGCATTTTCGGTTCCCGGCAATAGCAAATTATTCACTGCGTGGAGCTCCCCATATGTGCATCTACTCGCATGGACCTGTCCGCCGTGAATGTCTAGGCGCAAGAGCTTTCGAATATTAACGGGCTTCAGTTGTGACGGTCTGGACATCAATCTAACTGCGAATGAATTGGAGTGTGAATGAGCCTCAGTAGTACGAGCGCGTCTCTGTGCATGAGCCTGGGGCCTCCTGGGGCCTCCTGAAACCTACTGGGGCTTCCTGTGGTCTCCAGGAGCCTCTTGGGACCTCCTGGGACCTCCTAGGAAGGTTTCGTGCCCCAGGAGAGGCGCAATCTATAGCAACAGACGTACATAAATCATTGCGGATTAGACCCACAGGAGAAGGGCAATCTATAGGAACACGCGTAAAACACCAAGGACTCGTGCCCCAGGAGAGGCCCAATACATAGGAACATGAGTAAAACATTTAGGATTGTGTACACAGGAGAAGGACCATCTATAGAAACATACGTAGAACATCAAAGAATCGTGCTCCAGGTGAGGCCCAATCGATAGGAGCATACGTAAAACACATGGGATTGGAGCCACTCCTGTTGCCTTCTGAGGCCTCCTGCTCCTGGGGCCTCTCGGGGCCTCCTGTTGCCTTCCGAGGCCTCCTGGCGCTTCCTGTTGCCTCCTGGGGCCTCCTGTGGTTTCCTGAGGCCTTCTGGAGCTTCCTGGGGCCTCCTGGAGCCTCTTGGGACATCCTGTGGCCTCTTGAGTCTTTCTGTGGCCTCCTGATGCCTCCTGGGACCTCATGTGGTCTCCTGGGGCCTCCTGGAGCCTGTTGGAGCCTCCTGTGGCATCCTGAGAAGAATCTGCGCCCACGAGCCTGGCCACCAAAACAAGCAAACCGATCGAGACATCCTCAAAATCTGGCCCACCTGGGGGGTGAAAATGAGCGCCTCGCTCGAGACATCCTCCAAATCTGCTCCGAAAGCGAAGGATGTTGGGCCCAGAAACAAGCAAACCGCCTGAGACATCCCCACAAAATGGCCGCGAACGAGCCCGTGCAACCACCCCTGGCGGCTCCCCTTAGGGGTGCTGAAATGAGCGCCTCGCTCGAGACATCCTCCAAATCTGCTCCGAAAGCGAAGGATGTTGGGCCCAGAAACAGGCAAACCGCCTGAGACATCCCCACAAAATGGCCGCGAACGAGCCCGTGCAACCACCCCTGGCGGCTCCCCTTAGGGGTGCTGAAACCAGCGCCCCGCCTGAGACATCCTCACAATCTGCTCCAAGCGAAGGATGTTGGGCCCAGAAACAGGCAAACCGCCTGAGACATCCCCACAAAATGGCCGCGAACGAGCCCGTGCAACCACCCCTGGCGGCTCCCCTTAGGGGTGCTGAGTATGAGTAAGTCTGTGTATGAGTAAGTCTGTGTATGAGTAAGTCTGGGTATGAGTAGGTCTGTGTATGAGAAAGTCTGTGTATGTGTACGTCTGGGTATGAGTAAGTCTGAGTATGACTAATACTGTGTATGAGTAAGTCTGGGTATGAGTGAGTCTGTGTATGAGTACGTCTGGGTGTGAGTAAGTCTGTGTATGAGTAAGTCTGTGTATGAGTATGTCTGAGTGTGAGTAAGTCTGAGTATGAGTAGGTCTGAGTATGAGTAAGTCTGAGTATGAGTAAGTCTGTGTATGAGCAAGTCTGAGTATGTCCGACAGGAGGGGAGGAGAAAAGAGGAGGAGGAAGGAGGAGGAGTAGGAGGCGTCCAAGTAATAACAATAACCCCATCTTAGGATATGGGGAAAACGGTTATCGGAGGAAGAACAAGCGTCGCGCATTTTTAAATTCATTTATATATCTATATATACACATATATATATGTATATATATACACATATTTGTACACATGTTTAATCGAATGCCTTTTCGCGCTTGCTGGGGGCAGGGCTCCAATGCAACAGGCGAAATCGAGTCCACACGCGCGCGGAGTCGCGCGCGAGCGCGCATGCCGAAATGTTTGAATAACCATAGGTTTCGTATGGGATTCAAAGTCGTTCTTTGAACACATGTGAAACATAGCGCGCGCTCTTAGGAACACAAGCGTGTTTCAACATTGCCCTCACATGCAAGCAAGCAGGCCTCCAGCGCGCGCGTGTCGAAATCATTCGAACGCCCTTGCGCGCTTGTGGGGGGGTGGCGGCACGACCCCTGTCAAGCAAGGCCATGCGGGCCACTCGCGCCCGTCGGCCGCGCGCAAGTCGAATCTCCCCGCAATCTCCATTGCCAACGCTTGGGCGCCATCATCAACATCGGCGTGGCCAGCATGGGCGCCGTCGTTGGCTTTGTCGTCGTCGTCGTCGTCGCCAGCACCGCTAGTGTCATCATCGTGTCTGCCTTTGTGGACGTCGCCACGATACCGCGCCCGCCCGAATCAGCGGCTCGCACTTAAGTGCCCGCGCGTCGGCGCGGCCTCCGAAACGCTCTGGGGCGTTCCCGGCGGTCAGCGCCACCGCGGCCGCGTGTCGCGCCAAACTAGCTGGCCGCTCTGCGCTCGAGCCTGCGCGTGCTAGCGTGGCCGTAGC